AAATAAAACCAGGCTTTATTTTTGCTTAAAAAGAGTAAGGTGGAATTATAGCAAGGAGCCAGTGAGAAAACTGGCTCATACCTGACTGCAGGATGCCAGGCTGGTGGAGAGAAACAGCTAGCACCACAATCAAAACATGAGGCTAGGTTATCACATACTGGGCAGTACGGTAAATCCACTTTAACGTAAAAATAATATTTCAATATTAGAAGCAGTTACCTTCAGGAGGGAAAGTCAAAACCTGCACACATTCTCCAGGCTGATTAAAGAAATAATTTTTAAAAACACATTTTTTCTTTTCTGTAGCTTGCTGATCCCTCCTTTTAGACTTTCTAGTTACATCTTTGATAAGATGCAGTTAATTGGTTAGGCAGCGTACTTATTGTCTTTGATAACATGCAGAAATCTAGTGGTGAAAATAAATACATTTGTTCTTCCAGTCACCAGAAATTAGTGAAGCAATACTTGTTTAATTATAAAACACGTGTGCTTTGTTAGTTTCCATCTGTCTGCTCGCTGATTTGCAATTAAATGACCAGAAGAAAAAGATACGTCCTGTGGCAATTCAGGGGAAATTATTCATCTCGAGTGTTGCTGTGTTGTGGATGTTTATGGAGCAGCCTGTGGGAGAGGGAGGGAGTGGGGAAGAGCAGGAGGTAGGGATAGCAGAGGATGGGGAATGTTGAAAAGCCTCTTGCTGCAGTTCAGGTGTGTTTTGCTGTCAGGAAACCAAATATAAATTCCCATTAGCTTATTGTAAGTCACCTTTCTCTTTGGATTTTTCAAAAAAAAAAAAAAAAAATTGTTCCAAAGTTTTTACTGAGGAGCAAAATGGAGCAAGGACATGGGGATGCAGATAAAGGAGGCTGGTGTGGTCAGAGTGAAAAGGAAACCCACAGGAAAAAAAAGGAAGGGTGAGAAAGCGATAAAAACTAAATTTAATGTGAGTATTTGGAGATGAATTGTTGGAGATGGAAATAGAATGTAAAAGATTTTCCCTTTGCTAGAAAAATGCCAGGCCTTATTTAGCGGCTCTTTCTTCTGTCATTGAACGAGTTCAGTTCTATTAGCTCTCAGGGAGGGATGTGGTAGTGAGTCAGGACTGTTACACTTTGTAAAATGAGACACTCAAAAGGGCAGGAGTATTTTTAAATTAATAAGAAGGGGAGAAAAAATCAATTGGTGAACATATGCTCTCTTCATAAATAGTTCAAGAGGTTCAGAAAATCTTTTGCTGTGTAAGGTATTCCCATTGCTGATAAAGACGAGCAGTCTGCCTCCATGTTGCTACGTGGTGGGTACTGTATTACCTTCTCCTTCATCTGTTCCTTCTTGGCTTTCTGCAAAAGCAGTGGCTGGAAGGAGAGCCTTTCATGCCCCTTGTAATTCTGGATGCAGCCTGCTCAGATGTGTCTCAGGTATGGGGAGGGAGCTGTCTGACATGTCGTCTTCATGAAGAGTGGCAGGGAGAAGACAGCCAGCCTTCCCCAGTATTTTTAGTTTGATGTTCTTTGGTGTTTTATTGATCATCAGCAGCATCTGTCACTGTGTATAATGATAGCTACTTCAGGGTTCTTTTGCTCCTTTTCCAGACTTCTTGTGTCGACTTTATTCATTACCAGCAGCACCAGAGAGGTGCAGAGCTTCCTTATGTCAATATGATGCATCCATGGGGGTTGGACTAGTTGACCTCCATGGTCCCTTCCAACTCAAACGATTCTGTGATTCTATGTTGGCCCAAAATGTCACCATCCCACAGCTGCTCTGCCCCACGTCCCAGCTCCCAATTCTGCTCCATAGTGAGGTCTGCACAGACTAGTGTATTACAAAGTAAATAAAGCATAGCTTGGCCGCCTGCATTAGCAGTCTTAGCAAGAGAGTCAGAGTATGAACAAAGAGACGTAGACTGGACTTGCATTTAGTCTTTTGCCCTTAGAGCAGATTTCAAATTGCTCGTCTGAAGTGAAAGGCGCTGTTTCCTATTTTGAACAGCCTCGGCCAACACTGACTGTGTGCGTGCACTTGATTAAACAGTGCGATAAGTCACTATTGAAAAGTGTGACCTTGAAGCCTCCAAAAGTTTCTATTATTTCTTTTTACAGTTTTTCAGGCAACTCTCCCAAGCACTAACATAATGCTTTATTGCTGGTATTGCAGGCGATGATGACAAAGGACTGTTCCCAGCCATGTGAGTGCGCACATCCTGGCATGTCACATCGAGGAAAGAGAGCTCAGGATGTAAAGAACAATTTCTTCTAGTCTGAAAAAAGCAGTGCATTTAAGCCTCAGTCTAGGAATGCTCCTAAGATAACATTTTATTCGAAAAGTACGCTCCTTTTGAGCGTACTTTTTTCAGAAAGTGCTTTGTAAATCTTTGTCAGGTGAATTTTGGTTGTTTCATTTGTCCTTTTTATCTCTTCTCTACAGATGACGATTTTTTTCATGAACTCCCAGAAACTTTTCCATCTGATCCTCCGGAGCCATTGCCCCACTTCCTCATCGAACCCGAAGAGGCTTACATAGTGAAGAACAAGCCTGTGAACCTGTACTGCAAAGCAAGCCCAGCCACGCAGATCTATTTTAAGTGCAACAGTGAATGGGTTCATCAGAAGGACCATGTGGTGGATGAGAGACTAGATGAAACCTCTGGTGAGTCTGCATTATGTCATGGAGGACTGAGAATTGAAAAGCATTAATATCAAGCCCACCTTTTTAATCTAGCAGCTATTTCACATGGCACCTATTTTTCCTTACTCTTGATACAGCTGTGAATTCTGTATCTGGTGTTACTGAACATTAGCTGTCATGGCACAGAGGTGCTGTCTGCATCCAGGTTGGTTAGTAAAACATGATTGTAGAGCTCCCTGCCCAAGTTTGAAACAAAAAAAAACCAGGACAACTGTGCACAAACAAAATGGAATTGCTTTCTCAGCCAGGTCTACTCCTGGTTCACTTCCCCAGTGTCATAAATTCCCAGTGGTTGCCCTGGGACCAAGAACCACAGTCACCCCAAAGTGCCAAAGAGCAATTGGTTTGCTTCGGGAAAAAACAGGAGAACTTTACTCAGCTTCTGGCAAGAAAGCAAGGAGAAAGCACACCTGGGCACCGTTTAAAGCAGTGTGTTGATCCAGAGCAAGCATCTGGCAGTTATTCCATTACACTTTTCTGCTTGCTTCACAGAGACTATACAAAGGAGAACTACGGTAGGTTAGCAAGGGAAAAAAAAAAAAGCAGAGAGCCTTATTCTTCCTCAGTCAATACCAGAAATCCCACTGACATTCGAGGAAAAGAAAATAGGACCCTCATAGTACCAAAAAGGGGGAAAAAGGGTGAAAAAAAAAAAAAAAGGAGTTTTAAAAATAAATTTGATAAACCAGCATAAATCAAAGATATGATTGTTCCCATTTAGGCAGACTGGTAATCAATAGAGTTTGGGTCACACTCAAGGAGAGAAGTGAGACTTACTGCTGTTTTGATGGCTCTGAGAAATAACTGGATACCAAGCAGGAAGGTACCTTCATTTGGGAATTATACCACCACTTGGTCTAATTACTTAGAAAAATAACTCCACCAGATGTCTTGGAAGTCTCTTGTGAACTGGGTTTTATTTGTTTCAGCTCATTTATTTGCACAGAGATCAAAAGCATAAGCTTTTAATGGTACTGCGGTGCTCTCAGCTTGAAAAAGAGCAGGTGGGTGTAGGAAGAAAGGCTGGAGAAAAAAAAATGTGTATTAAACTTTGGGCCTGTTTATTTGTTTGTAAGAATTGGCTTTTCCAACAAGTTGACTGCAGCAGAAAAACTGAAAAAATAAATTCTTGTTACTTAATATGCCTTCAATCTTTTTCATCCATGGGAGTCCACCGGAATGAAGAAGGACAAGCAGGAGGCCAGCTATCACTGTGTTAATTTTCTAAGCTCTTATTAACATCATCATTCAGAAACATGATAATGTTTTGCTACAGGTGAATTTTTTTTCTCTACAGGTGAACAATGCATTCTCTTTTGTCAAAAATCTCATTGTGGAAAAACTCCATGATGCCGTAAAGCAAATTGCATTCTACAAATGTAGAAGGCCAGTCTTGAAAAGAGATGCATCTGAATATATTAGAAAACAAATGTTTTGCATAACAAACAGCAGTAATTATATGCAAATGAAACCTGTATCCAATTAGGGATTAACATAATCTACTGGAGTGTGGGGGGGGAGGAGGGTGTCAAAAGCTGTGCACATCAGATTATTAGCACAAGAGCCACAAACCCAGCCACACTAATAGCTTGTTAAAATGAAACGGTCATCAGAACCGAAATTTGTCAGTCAATCTGGTTGTTGCCAGAAAGTTGGTTAATGCAGCATGGTTGCAGTGCACATTCCTGTAAGTAGACTGAGAATCTAGGGCTCATAGCACGCAGTATAGAAATGGGTAAACAATGTATTTAAGGTAGTGGTAAAATAGTATTTAAGGTGGTGGTAAAATAATACCTTCTTCAAAGCAAAGGAAGATTGGGAAAATAGATGCACTGCAGATGGAGCTGGAGAAAAAGTTACAGGAGACAGTGACTGTGGGGATTCATTCTGGTGCCCAAGGAAGAAGGTGTGAGATCGTTGGTGTGGAAGCTTGGACTCTACCAGTTTTGAGGCTTTTTTGGTTTCTTTGGCTATGTTTGGCTAGCTAGCGCAGTAGTTGTAACCTAGGGCATGGCAGGAGTGGCTGCTGGGTGGCGTGAGGGTGACAGCCCAAGCCTAGGCAGCTGTGGGCTTAAGGGTTGCGGTTGGAGGGGCTGGAGAAATTGTCCCAAACCAGGTCAGGTCTGTCCTTCACATGGGTAACCCAGGGGCCAAAGGGATCTCAGTTACATAGTGTTTATGCTGGGTTGGTCATGTAATCCAAGCACCTGTATCCAACCAACTGCAATCCAAGCAATTCTTCTTTCCTGTTATTTCACCATTCTTAAGGTCTGTTCTGCCTAAATCTGAAGAAGAGCACCATGCTGAGGCAGCCTTCTGCTGCCATTTTTGAAACAGGCTTTCTCTCGTTTCTTTAGGTAGAAAAGCAGGGGAAAGGAAAACAAGACAAACAGACAACAGAATATATGAGAGGAAAACGGGAAAGGTCACCTGTGCTTTCTTTTCTAAAGGGCTGGTAATCGGTAAAAAAACAGAGGACTGAAGTACGGGTGTGATGCTAGCTGTACATCATCTTGGGGTTGTAAATGATGCATGAAAGAGAGAAATAGGCTTTGGTTTGCAAAGAATGATGTGTTCATGGACTTTGAGCCTGTGCCCAAGAATGAAATCTATGTAGAGATGATTAACTCCTCTTATAAGACAAATTTGTTTCTGTCATTGATCAAAGCAGAGACAACAGCACAGCAGCAGTAGTGGGACAAGAGATGGAATGAGAGCGCAGACAAGCTCTCACTGAAGAGAGCTGCTAGATAGAAATGGTGAAGATACTAAGAAGGTGAATAAATATGTATATCTTTTTCCTATGCATATATGTATTTTTTTTGTCTTTGTAAGAGAGAGAAGGTACAAAGTTAGAGTTGTATGGACTTTGCACTGTGGGATATTTTTAACAAGTAGGTAAGGCACTGCTGTAAAGAACATGCACAGGGACTCTGTGGGAGTTGTTGCCTTCTGGTTGGAGAAGATGAGAGCAGTAACAGTGACAGGGTGTTCTAGTACTGCTTTATTTAATTCAATTAGGCTGAAGAGAGAGCCTTGCAAAAAAAAAAAAATAAAATAAAATTCCAATGGCTGAGTCTCAGAAGCCAGAAGCTTTACATAGAAGATCATTACACTCTGGTTTTTAATCCTAGACTCACTGGAATTTTTCTTCTTTATGGAAAAAGCTAAGCATTGTCATAAAGAAGCCAAACGGGTGCTTTGAAAATCTTTAGTACACATCTTTGACTCTTTCATTTCCTATGTACATGAAATGCAAGGCAGGTCTTTTTTATGTTTTTACTGGAATGTTTTCCCATTAATGTGGAAAAAATATATGTAAAGAACAAGAACACTGGTTTTAAACAACAAAGATGAAAGTTGTTTTGAGGGAACACATTTGATTTTATGGCTGACTGTCATAAAAGATAACAGCAACGAAAAGTAAAAGGAATGCTGCAGAACCGATGCTTTCAGGGGCAGAAAATTCCATTGTCACAGGGCAGGAAGCTCAATAGCATCAATAACTGTTCGAGCAATTTGTGCACATTTTCCAAATCACTGTACCTCTGAAAATGACTCTAGCAAAAGGTTTTGTTTTGCATGTGCTTTTTATGGAGAAATATTTTTTCGGACACACACCGCAGTTCTGCAGTGGTGGGACAGTTGTGGGTGTATAGAAAATCAGTGCCCTGCACCCCGTTCATTTGTCCAGAGGGATTAAATGCTGTTAAATCCAACCCCACATCCCAGTGATGTACAACAGAGAAAAATCAGTACAGGGACCTTGCTTTTGTCTTTTCAGTTTGGATATGCATCATAATAGTTTCTCCATGACTGTTAAGGTGAAATGATCTATAAAACCCCTCTTGCCCTCTGCAAGGCCAGTGACATGTTCTTCTCTCTGCTTCAAGGAAGGAGAAAACAACATTTGGGACTCGTCTAAGTGCTAATTAAGTAGACATATTGGGCAATTCAGCCAGCATTATTGTTTGCCTGTGCTTTCTGTCTTCTTTTGCTGGGATGCATAGGGAGAGAAGGGCTCAAGGAGTTTGCTGATGACCTCCTCCAGTTCCCAAATAGCAGCAAGACCAAATCAGGACTCTTGAGCTTGGCCTGAGGGCCCAGCTAATGCAAAATGAACAGGCTTATCTGTGCAATCAGAGGAAAGGCATGCTGAAGGAGGCTCTGTTATGGAGCAGGTGAAGTTGCTAATCCTTTTTTCCATGTCCTGCCTTCAGAAACAGGCTCACAGGAGACCTAATGTCCCCCAGGAGCATCCCTGGTGCCACCCAGCCTTCAGCAAGGAGTATAGGTGGCTCCGAGGGCTTTCCCTTGAGCTGCCCCTTCAACTCTCTGCCTCCCCACAAATCAACATAAACGATGAAGTTAGAATCTGGCTCAGAATACGATTTTAGTCTGATTAAGAATGGTTATCGAACTGTGCTCAGGTGGATGAGTATTCTCTTCTTTTCAGACAGAAATCTTGGATTTCTTTGTTTCAGTTTCTTTATGTAGCCAGTTCTGGGATTCCCGCGCTTACCTCGCACCATTAATAAAGTATTTTTGGATGACTTGCAGATTTGATGAAAGGAGGCTGAGCTTTTGACATCTAAGCAGCATTGATCTAGTGAATAGGAGGTTGTTACCTTAAGGAATAGGTTTGGCAGCCTGTCGAGGGAGTAGGTACCCAGCTAGCTAAGTCTTTAATAGACCACCCTCTCGACAGGAGGATCAAAGATTGACATCTGCCCTTTTGCCTTTAAAAGAGCTCTTACAAGATGCTGCAGCCAAGGCAGCAGTGGGGAAACCTCCACCGCGACTGTCTCTGCTCTTCTGGCACCGTGTACAGAGGCAGAAAAAACACTTCCATCACACAGTGCTTTATCACTTCATCTTCCTCTCTGTGTGCACATCTCATGAAGGCTGTTTATTTTGGTGCTTGTGACACCATGTTTTGGAAGGTTGCATTGCCCTGATGG